GTATCAGGTGCACCTTAGTCTCCAGAGAGACACCGTTGCTCTTGAGTACTTTAGAGAGGTCCCTAACAGCAGACTTTCCCATCGCAATATGTTTTTTGATTTCCTGGCTGCTGGTGCCAAGAGTGTTGGCTGTGGAGCCAAGCAAACTGAAGCTATGAACAATCTCAGTCTCTTCATCATCCATTCTGATGCTACCAATTGGTCCAGTGGTGAGAATCTTTGTCTTCTTGACATTGAGCCTCAGTCCATACTGAAGGCTGCAGTCCTTTACCCTCCGCAGCAAGTCCATGAAGTCCTTCTCAGTTTCGACAACAGAAAACTATACATGTACACAAATTATGATACAGTCAGGAGATCCTGAAGATTTAATACAGTCAGGGGATCCTGAAAATTTAGTGAAGGGGATAGTAACTCTTTTGTGTATTCTGCAAAGACCACTTTGTTAAGGAAATAGGACTATACTAGAAAAATACTAAGAAGCTAGGTATTTTTAAACTGGTTAGAGAGTTGAAATAGTGGGGAAATACTTTCAGTATGTTATGTTTTAATAAGAGCAAGGAAGACAGTAATTGGGGCACACTGGCAGAAGAGGCCGTTAAGATACTTTTGGAAAGAGCTACTGGTCAAGGTTTCTTTTTAAGTACACTGAGGGACAATGGAAGGGCTTAAAATAAGAGTCAATTTCTTGGGTAGAATTATATTTTTAAATTCACTCTTGGCTGTTGTTTAAGAAAAGCTTGAGAAGTTGCAGATCTAAGAGCATGAAGCCCAATTGACTTTGGAAGCAGGTCCCATAAGAGTTGGTGACCAGGGCTGGGCTGCTGGCAAAAGAAGTAGAATTGGGACAAAACCTGAAGTTAACAAATTTTAATTTATTAATGATTTTGATTGAACAATGGTAGGGATAATGGTTGTAGGATCAGGTTAAAGATGGCTTTTGGGTTTCTGGAAAGCTTACACTCACTTGGTGGAAAATCACACCAACTTTGTTAAGCAGAAGTTAAAACTAGATATGTTAACTCTGGAAATCAACAGCATTCAGGATGACATTTAGAGCCTTTATAGTAGATTAACAATTTAGGTGACAATTTTTAAAAATGCACATCAGACCTAGGAAACACCAGTTTCTTTTGAGGTCATGTGGAGGAAGACGTTTTTTATAGGGGCTTGAAAAAGGGCAGTTTAAACATGGCCAAATTGTTATTTAAGAATCTGACATAAAGGGTGCTCTGCTGGCCTCGTGGCAAGAAGCTGCACCTCAATCCAGAAGGTGCATGGTTCAGATCCACCAGATGCTCTGCTAGAGAAGGAGGGGCTGTCAGATCGATTGGACAACAAAAAAAGAATCTGACATATTTGTATGTCAACTGTTGCAAGTTTGAATAAACAGATATTAGAATAGCATCTATCCACATCTAAACCGGCTGGTATCCAGTTGCTTCTGACTCATAGTTACCTTCTAGGGAGTTTCTAAGGCTGTAAATGTAAATCTTCGTGGGAAACAACTGTTTGATCTTTTTCCTTGGAGTCCAATCACCTTTCTGTCAGTCAGCACCTTAACACTCACTGTGCATCCTTGGAGTCCAATCACCTTTCTGTCAGTCAGCACCTTAACACTCACTGTGCAACCAGGGCTTACCCCTGCCCAAAGACTGAGATATCGTATACATGAAAGATTTGATAATGGGAAAGCAACAAAAGAATTTAATTACAGTGGTCACTGTTAACAGTAAATTGAACATAACTGTTCAGGGAGCCTAGGTAAAGTTAGCTGAGTTTTGATGGATCAGGGAGAAACAGAAGAATAATCTTGAAGTGTTAAAAAATTTTTTTGCTGTGGAATCAGTGGGGTTGTTGAACTTAAGATGTTTGGTCTTAGAGCTAATGAATCAAAAGTGAAATTAATCTGTCGTTGTTTGGTTTTCCCCAAAATAATGTTATTTATTAATACTTTTCCCTTAATCAAAGGATATTAAGGTTTATTTTAATCCCTAACAGTATTTTCATGTGTTTGATAGCATAGTAATAGTTTAATATTCTAAAGAACTGGAAAGCACTGTTAATTTTGTCTTAAATTTTGGTTATTTAATAAGTAAATTATAGGGTTTTTTATTGTTTGACATGTTTTCTTTAAAATGTTATTTTTATGCAGCAGATATTTTTCTTTATCCTGTACATCACATTACTTCGGGTTATTGTTGACTATTTGCAGGAATGAAATGCCTTATCTTTACTATAACTTTAATATCTTTCCAATATTTTGCAAGTATTTGTATTTTGCAAATGCAACACCCTTTGCTTTTACTATCCTTTCACTTTGCAAATTACAGTTGTTATTAGGTGCCATGTCCCGTGCCATCCTCACTATCTCTGATCTGTCGTAGCCCATTCTTCCATTTGCTGTGTCAGTTTGTCTTGTCTCCTCTTTCTGATCCCTCTACCTTTCCCAGAATGAGCTGCTTCTTTTCAGATTATTGTTGTCATGTACTGTCAAGTTGGAAACAACTAATAAGAATAGCTAACCGTCCAGTGGGTTTTCAGAGAAAATGCATGGGAAATACATCTTTGTCATGGGAAACATCTAATGGATTCTAGCTGTATTCCTTTGGATTGGCAGTGCAGCTTCTTATCCCTCAGCCACCAGAGCTCCCCTTTTGAAATTGGTGGTGGTGGTATGTGCTGTTAACAACAGCAGGCTTTCAGTGGCAGTTAATCTCATGGGAGCCAGTGCAGCTCCTTACCACTAGGTCACCAGAGCTCTCCCTCTTTTCAGATTAGTCCTCTGGATATCACAGAATAATGTTCATTCTCCTAAATTAAACTTAACCCCATAATTAACAACCAGTGAAAAAGTATAATTAAACACCAAGATTATGGTGATATTGCACTTAAAAACTTCCCATAACTTAAAGTGTACATTTATATGTTGATTTCCTGTATTTCTAGTTGACTTTCTTTGGCCAACTTATTTGATTGTTTATTACCATAGACAGACCATTCTCTAGGATGATATATTTCTTTACAGTATTATAAGAGTTGCTAGAAAAAGATAGTCCATGAGGGGTTTCTTGTTTTAATGACTAGGATTTGATTGACTTTTATTTTTGCTTTTTGGTGCTAGTTCATGTTGATGAACATTAATATGTAATATGTTTCACAAATATTTCAACCGTAATAAAATAGCTACAAGTCACTGTAAGTGATAAGCTTATTTTCCCTGCTTTAAAACAATTTGTACTGAAATTCCACTTGTCTGTGTTTGTTTCTATTTTAAAATTCCTTAGTTACTGGCTTTGAGCTTTTACGTTGCTGAATTTTACACATCTGTTTTCTCACCTGCCATATCCTAGGGAGCTTGGAGTACCCATAATACAGTGAGCCCACCTTCCTGGTCCCCAGAAATTTCAGAAGGTCGAGAAATTTTTAAACCCAGGCAGCTTCCTGGAAGTGCTATTTGGAGCATCAAAGTGGTAATAATCTCATATCATTTCTTTCTGATTGTGTTTTCCTACTCAGAGTTAAGAACTGAATCTTTTTCTTACACGTGAATAGTCCAGCTATCACAGCTTCTTATTTTAATATAAAAATGTTAATATATATCTATATATTTGACAGTGAGAGGTGCATTATGTGGAGGGCTGAAGAAGGGTGGAAGACAATATGCAACGATGAAAAAAATGAAAAGAAAACCTTTCTGTGTTTTAAAAAATTTTAATATAAAGAAGCAACAGTTTTCTATTTTAAAATCTGGGTTAGGTAAATATTAAAGTGCAATTTTGTGTGATTGAATTGAAGTATAAGTTTATAATACTTTTTTATAATTTGGTGGGTGTTTGTGGTTTTTTGTGGTGGGTTGTGTTTTTTTAAATTTTTATTTTTTTTTTTTTATAATGATTACTTCTTTTTTTTGGTGTGTGTGTGTGTGTGTGCGTGTACCGTCAAATCAGATCCGACTGGTACAGGAGGAGATTGTCCCTCCTTCCCTGGCAGAGCATCTGGTGGATTCGAACCATGCGCCTCTGGGATTGTAGTTGCAGCTCCTTGCCACTAGGCCACCAGAGCTCTCCTAGAATGATTACTTCTTATATTAAGCATCAGTATTCCTACAAGGGAGACAATTGTTACCATATATACTGAGATTTTTAAAGACTTGCTCATTCATGCTATCATCAATTTCATTATTTATAAAAGAAGTAATACCTGAATTGTTGCAGATTTTATTTTCTGTATTAATAACGTCAGCATTGAATGAACCTCTGTGCATCTGCTTACATATACATTATACCCACTGACGGCATCATTTGTGGGTGACCTTGCTGGTCCTTTGAAGTAAATGAAACACTATGATTAATTTATAATGTTACTAATTTTTTTAAAAAAGAATTAATCATTTCAAAAGTTATTATACTTTATTAGCTAGAGAACACATTTTTTTTAATATATTGCTGAAATAAGACTATTTAGACTAATGAATGATTACAAAGGAATTAAAGAGTCGTGTCCCTTTATTCCCCTCCATGAAGAACTGCTTTCCAAGTATAAGCATTGTTTGTAAGTTGACTTGTTTGACAATTGCTATAATCTTGGTGTAATCATGGACTGAATTTTTAAAAAATCTTTTATACATATTTTTAAATAAAATTTTTACTGAAACCCACTATTCTTTCAAAGAAGTTAATGAATCCATCAACAGATCTAAAGGATAGTTCTTTAGGAAAAAAGACTGGGAGAAGTAATTTGTAAACAGGAAATTGTAAAATTTATCCTCGTCCATGTGTTTCTTTTTATGCTTGCAGTATGTTATTTTGAAATAATTTAACTTTCAAATCATTCTGCTATAAAATACATTTAACATTTCCAACTGAAAATGAGATAAATGAGATCAGTTGAAGAGGTGACCTCATTTAACTTGTCAAGAGTTAAACAGATTTAGAAAGAATTGCCCTTTGTATTTAAATTATTTTAAATATACATAATACATTTATTTATATCCATTTTAGGGTTTGTCCTTTGTCCTCTTCTTTGAGTAGTAATAAATATATCTTAAGAATAAGTAACAATAACAGAGGTGCTTATATTTATATATTAAAATATCAAATTAAATATGCTTTCCTGTAGAATTTTTGTTATTTAAACATCAAGGAGATTCTTTCCATTTGAGGTAATTATCATCTACATGACATAAGTGGGTTCCCCCCATCTTCTTGTCACCTTTACTCTAATTTTAAAATAAATATACCTCTAAAACTTTGACAGATTGAGGTGATCATACCTATTCATATAAATATGTCTAGATAGTAAAGAAACTGAATAGCAGGGGTAAATCTGTTTTTCACTAGCAAAAAAATAACTCAGATAATTTAGTGGAAGATAGTGGTTAAGATTGCACAAGAACATGGAAATAGCCTGTATTTCTAACTACAATTGGATGGATTGAGAAATTGTGGTACATTCGCAGCTTGGAATCCTACACAGCATGCAGGAGCAGTTATTTTGTAAATTACAGACCGTGGTCTTTGCAATCACTTGCTGTGAGTCAGAGAGCTGGACAGTGACTAGGGAGGACAGAAGGAGAATTGATGCCTTTGAGTTGTGGTGTTGGAGAAGAGTATTGAATATGCCATGGACTGTTAAGAAAACAAAGAGATTCATCCTGGAGAGGGTTAAACCAGGCTACTCCTTGGAGGCAAAGATTCTGAAGCTTCGTCTGACATAATTTGGACATGTTGCAAGGAGGGACCAGTCCTTGGAGAAGGACATCATACTTGGGAGGGTGGAGACACAGTGCAGGAGAGAAAGACCCTCTGTGAGGTGGATTGATTCATAGTGACTGGGTTAATTCAGGTAGGCATGTCAGAGACCTTGAGATTGGCACAGGATAAAGCACTGTTGTACATAGGGTCACTATGAGTCGCAGTTGACTCAACAGCACATAACAAAACAACAACAACTACCTAACTTGGGAGGGACTGGAGAGCCTTATGCTAAGTGGACTGTCTCAGTCCCATAAGGACAAATGTTGTATAAAACCATTATTGTAGAGGTGGGGGCGGGTCGGAGCAGAGGGATGGGGGTGCATTAATAGGGTTGCACAGTTTGGTGAGGGAAATTGGAAAGAGCCAGTGTGAAACACAAAGATATGCAAACTTTGTAAATAAACCAATATAAAATAATTTAAAAAAAAATACTAGATACTGGAGCCAAGCTTGTTTGCTCTGTAACCTTAAATTACTTGACCTTTTCCATCTCAGTATACTAAAACATGGAAATAATGAAATACTATCTATGTTACAGAATTGTTGAGAGTAAAAAGCGCCTGTATCTATATAGAGTGAGGTCAGTAAGTGTACAATAAATAGAACTATAATTACTGTGAGGTTAATTAAATTAGCAAAAGTCTTTTCATATATTCTTTGTTGAAAATTATGTTGCACATCAGATTTCTACATTGTATTATTGTTATTCTCAAACTCATTACCATCGAGTCAGCAGCAACTTATATGGAAAATTAATACCAAGATCTACTGATAGAAAGCATTCACACTGACAGAACAAAACTTGTTTCTAAAATAATAAGCATTTTATAGGTTAAAATGTTTTTCATTCATTGGACTAAGAAATTTATTTTCTTTGGCTTATAATAGTTATGTGCCTATTTTTAAGTTACAGAATATATATTTAAAGAAAAAAAAATAATCTAGTCTCTTAATATGTATTCTATCAATAGCATAAAGACCAGATAATTTTCTGAAATGAACATAAACTATCCAAATTTTATTTTTTTTTGTTGTTTTACTCTGGTTCATGGAGTGGATGTACTCTAAATTTAATACAGTGTTATATATTGCTCAATTTGGATTTGAACATTCTCTTTGGCTTTAAAAACTGCTTTATTTTTTACTTATGTTGTATAGGGACGTGGGTCAGGATTTCCAGGAAAGCGGAGACCTCGCGGTGCAGGACTGTCAGGGCGAGGTGGAAGAGGCAGAGCTAAGTTAAAAAGCGGAATTGGAGCAGTTGTATTACCTGGGGTGAGTCTGGCTTCATCTCTATAATCTTTCTATAATTTTATCTTTTCTGTAATCTTGAACGTATTAATGAATAGGAGAAGCTTCTGGGAAGCAGATTGTTTTGGCCTTAACAGTCACATAAGTAGCATAAAATTTTTCTTCTGTTTTTATTTATTATTTGCTTTTAAAAAATCTCTAGTCAGGCTTTATTTTCTGGGGTTTTTTTTATGTTCTTGTTTTCTCTTTTCTTACATTCCTATGCTACTTTTTTAAAAGTAGGAGTCCAAATTTAAAGTTTTTTGTTTATTAGACATTGCACTGTTCATTGCTGAAACCTAATTTTATCATCTTGAGCTCTTCTCAAAAGTCCAATGTACCTTTTTTTTGCATTTTGAAAAAAATCTACCACTAGTTACTTTCTTTGATATTATAAATATTATTTAGATTGGCATTTTTATGGTTTTATTGTAGTTGGGTTGTTTTAGTAGTATCTTTTATTTTTTTTAGTAGTATCTTTTACAGACGATATGAGAAATGTTAAAAGTTTATACTTTGACAACATTTAACATTTTAAAACCATCTTTGATGAATCTTAATATAAAATTGATAAACACTGCTCATTGTTACGTTACTATTCAATCTGTATTTTAAAACTATATTAGTCATTTTAAATTCATGAGACAAATGGTTTCTTCTGTTTTACTGATAATCTAGGAGTAAGAAAACTTATATTCTAGTTCTTTATTTTTAAGCAAATAGAGGTAAAAAGAAATGCTAACAGGCTTGTGAGTATGTATAATAGATATAATCCAAAACCAGACCCTCTGCTTTCACGTCCGTTCCAGCTCATGGGGTTCTGTACCGCTGCTGAGCTGAATATCCCGCTGGGCGCCGTCTCCCTCATCTTTCTTCTGTGGTGAAGCTGCTCAGTTTGAACTGCCTACCTTTGCATAGCAGCTCAACAGCACCAGGTGTAACCAACTACACCTACACCACCAGGGCTCCTTAGTTGATATAAAACAAACTACAGATATTTGAAGTATACAGTTTGAGAAGTTGTGACCTATGTATATACCTTTGAAAATCATGCAGGTCAAGATCATGAAGATATTTACTGCCTGACCAAGTTTCTTCATGCCTTTTTCTATTCTATCTACCTTTCCTCCTCCCATCTACCACCCTTCATGTTCAGGCCATTAATTATTTTATTTTTATTAATGTAGATTAGTTACTTCTTCCAGAGTTGTATATAAATAGAAACACACAAAATGTACTTTTTAATTTTTTAGTCTTGTTTTCTAAAACAGCATAATTTTATTTATTTTTTAATTCATCCATGCCTTGGCATATGTTAAGAATTCATTTATTTTATTACTGAGTAGCAGTACCCTCTATTTTCTTGAGTAAGAGATGGGTAGTCTCCTCTTATATCATTTACAGCCTTTGAAATCCCACTGGGGAGCCAGCCGTGAGTTGGTTCCGACTTGACAGGACATAACAACAATGTTCTTTGGTTTTCATTGTACAAAGCATTACTATTTTTTGTCATGTGTAATCTTAAAACACATGTGAAGAAAGCAAATGCCATTTAAAAGTTAAGAAAGAAAGGGAAACCTAGTCATGTACCAAAAGGTCAATGTTGACATTTCAGGAAGTAGCATATGCTCAAGAACCAGTGAGAGGGACTGAAAGAAATAGTCCAAGCCCAATTGAAAGGATTGACAAAAAGTAAGACTGCAGAAATTGATGAATATAACTTTGATCAGAAATTCCAGGTGGATTAAGAAAAGGCCATGAAATCAAAGTATATCATTGTTATTACCAGGTGGATCTTGGTTGAAAACAGAGAATGCATGTTCTTTGTTGCCTTTGCAGAAGTATTTGATTTTATGGGTCCTAATAAGTTATAGATAGCATTGAGAAGAACAAGAATTCCAGAAAACTGGAGAGCTCTGTTGGCCTAGTGGCAAGAAGCTGCATAGCAACCAGAGGGGCGCGGTTCGAATCCACCAGGTGCTCTGCTGGAGAAGGAGGGGCAGCCTCCTCCTGCCAGATCTGATTTGATGGTATAAAGACAAAAATAATAAACTAAATTTTTTTTTAAATTCCAAAAAACTTAATTATGTTTATATTGAACTTACAAAAGCAGCTTTCAACCAGATCAAAGGGATACTTCATGGTTTAAAGACAACAAAGCTCTGAATCAGGATTATATCCTTTTACTATACCTGTTCAATCTATATGAGCATATAATCTGAGAAACTGGATTATTTGGACAAGAATGTTGCATCAAGATGAGAGGAAGACTCATCAGTGCCTTGTTTTATGCAGATGATACAAACTTGCTTGGAAAAAGTAAACTATTTGAAGTACTTAACTCGTTAAACTGAAATACAGCTTTTAGTATGCATTACAATTCACTGAAAATCAAACAATTTTTATAGCTAGACAAATAGGCATCATGAGTAATAGAGAAAAGATTGGTATTCTTAAAAATTTTATTGTACTTTAATCCCAAATCAACACCCATGAAAGCATCAGACCTAAAATTAAATGATGTATTCCACTTTGCATAGTCTGCTTTCAGGGACCTCTATAAAGTGCTGATGTTCAAGAATGTCATTTTAAATGTTAAGATGTGTGTGAGCCACACCTTGGTATTTTCATTTGCCCTGTATACATGGGAAAGCTAGAGAATTAATAGAGACCAAAGAAAAACTGATGCCTTTGAATTTTGATGAGTATTGAGTATGCCATCACTGTCAAGAGTAACAGTTCTCTCTTGGAGGAAGTGTGCCCAGAATGCACCTTAGAAGCAAGGATGGAAAAACGTCATCACTCACACTTTTGATCTGTTAGCAAAAGGGATTAATTCCTGGAACTGGAAAAGTAAAGGGTCAACAAGAGAGGGAAAGGACTTTAAACACAGTAGAGATTGTGAGGATGATGCTTTCTTCTATTGTGTGTAGCGTGTTTGAGTGAGGAGCCAACCCACCTTTGGAGTTTTGTTCAGAAAGACTTTTTAAGCCATAATTTGGCTTTGCTATGTAGATGAGTGGTAGTTGTAAATGGGGTGCGTTAGCCTCTCCACAAGAACATTGACAAGTCTCACCAATCCATAAGGCTAGCCTTGCCATTATAATGCGCAATCCAGCAGCAGGAAAATTAGACCTTTCCCACCCCAGAGAAAAAGAAGAAACAAGAGACTGTAGAACACCCTTTAAGACCAGATAGTTTGTCTCCAGCTATGCCTATGGCATAGCAACCATGGCCAAACCAGAGACCTGACATGAGATGGGGCTTTGGAGCTGCTACATCATAGAAACCACAGGCTAAGAGCCTTTGCCAAGTTTGTTGGACAACAGGAGGAGGGAGGGCATAATTAGGAGGACTGAGAACTTTGTAACACTGGCCTTGAGACTCAAGGTTGAAGTGCCCAAATGCACATTTCAGAAGCTGTTCGGACTATGTTGCTACTAATCTGAATTGTAACCTTTTGACTTCACCAGGAAGTTTCTTTTTGGTCTGTGAGCTACCATACTAGATTTTGGACCCAACAAAGCAGTAAGATTGGTGTTAACATAAGTAGAACAAGTTATGGAGTGTGAGAGACATGTCTGACCTCACCGGATGTGGTATTGTTTTATTGATGTTGTTGACAGAGACACTTAGTAAAGTCAGTAAATGTCAGACATACCTGTCTGCACATGGTCCTTGTGCTTTTTATACCAGCTGTAAATAACAAAGAGAGCTCTAGAGCTCTGGTGACATAGGGGCAAGAAGCTGCACTGCAAACCCGAAGCCATACAGTTCAAGGCCACCAGCTGCTCCACAAGAGAAGAATGAACAATCTCCTTCCATGGGATTAACTGCTTCTGAAAACCCACTATGGGTCGATTGCAACTCAGTGGGTACAAAAACAACATACCTAACCACAACATTATATTTTGTTGTGTTGATTTTGAATTGTGGTTACTACTTGCTAGTATGTTGTTATATGCCATGGAGTCACCTGTTACTCATAACAACCAGACATACAACAGCTCTGAAGCCTGCCCTATCCTGAGACAGTCTGACTCTGATGCACCTAGCCCTGTTACCCCAGTTCCTGTGTTAGCCTGTCTCATCTGGGGTTTTCTCTCCTCCACTGTCACTCCACACTTCCAAGCATTATGTCTTCCTCTAAGGGCACGTTTCCAAAGACAGAGCTTCAAAATCCTAACCTCCAAGAAGAAACTTGGTTTCACCCTCTCCAAGACAGACTTATTGGTGGTCCATTGTATGTTCATTACTCTTCTCCAGCATCACGTCTTGAAGGTATCAGTTCTTCTGTCACTCTTAAGTCATTTGTCAGCTCTATGATACATGTCAAGTAATTTGAAAGACCATAAACTGGATTAGGTGTGCCTTAGCGTCTAGACTGACAACATTGCTTCTCAGTACTCTGAAGAGATCATTGACAGCAGTTTTCCCATTGCAATTCCTCTTTTGATTTTGACTGCTGTGCCAAGCATGATGACCGTGGAGCCGAGCAAGCTGTAACTGTTAACTGTCTGTTTTTCTCCATCCATCATGGTGGTGCCAAATGACCCAGTGGTGAGAATCTTTTGCCTTCTTGATGTTAAGTTTCAATCCACATTAAAGACTATATAGTCCTTGACTCTGTGGAGTAAATCCTTCAGGTCCTCTTTAGTTTTAGTAGGCAGGGTTGTGCAATCTGTTTATCACTGGTAGTTGACTAGTTCACCTCAAGTCCCGATGCTGGGCTTCATGAGGAGGAATGTGCTAGTCTTTAGAAATACTATTTCTTTCTATTGACTTTGTAACTTGACATGATTAAAATTCTTAAGCACTCTGCTAACCGGTTTGATGGTTCAAGTCCACCCAGAGTCATACCTCTAATCTGCTGATTACCCACTAATCTACTGATGAAAAGTCAGTAGCTGAAAACCCTAGACAACAGTTGTACTTTGACACTCAAGGGTCACTTCAAGTAAAAAATGATTCAGAGACAATTTATTTGGCTTGGAATAGCCATATTTATAAAGGGAAAAGCAGGTGAAATTAATTTTAGTGCATGCCATTTAACCCTAGCATATAAATGTGGTAGATTCAAACCCAGGTATGTGATTTGAATTCACCAGCAACTTTATGGGAGAAGGGTGGGCAGTCTGATCCCATGTGATATATTGCCTCCAAAAGCCCACTGACGGATCAGCTATAGGCCTGTTCCAGCGTGATGGTACATACAAAAACATCATCACTCAAAATATTATCATTTCAATGTGTGGAAAAATTATTGTGATATCTTACTCTTTTTTTATGTTCCTTTTACATAGTTTTCAAGAATCAAATGTATGTTTTAACTTAAAGCTATTTCAGTAATATTTTTTGAACTGATTTGAGTGAAAGTTTACAAAAGCAAAATACTTTTTCATTCATACATTTTGTTTTATAACATTAAAATCAATAATTATACTATATATATAATATTTTATTTTTATTATTTTTGTGTGTATGTACCATCAAATCAGATCTGACTGGTACAGGAGGAGATTATCCCTCCTTCTCCAGCAGAGCATCTTGTGGCTTCAAACTGCTCACCTCTGGGATTGCGGTACAGCTTTTTGCCACTAGGCCACCAGAGCACGCCAGTAATTATACTTTTCTTTGTCGTCTTGTGTTAAATCGGATCTGACTGGCACAGAAGGAGATTAGCCAGCACAGCTCCCTATTATAATTATACTTTTACCACCTACTCCCTATAGTTATTATTTCCATTATTCTTTCTCTACTGTCTGTTCTGTTTAGCAGTTATAATTTAGATTAATTATATTGCAAGTATCTATATCCACCTCTACTACTGTGGAGAAGTATCCTTAAATGTTATATATGTACATATTGTACTATAAGGAATTCTGGTGGCCTAGAAGTAAGAAACTTCACTACATTCCCAAAGGCATATATTTCAAATCTGCCAACTGCTCCACCAGAGAAGGAAGGGAATTCTCCTTCTGTGTGACTTACTGCCTCAGAAAACCATTGGAGGGTCAGCTATGAGTCAGTTCTGACTCCATGGCACCTAATAGCAACATCCCTAAAATAGGCCTCTATACATAAAAATGACTATACTTATTTTTCTGTTAGAGATGCAACTTCTTACACTGGCTCTCAGTCACCCTTTGAGCCTAGAACACACACACTTGCGGCTTGACCTTCAGCCAAACAGTGGATAGGCCTGTAAGGTTAACCTTTTCTTTTCCTTCATGTATGAGTTTCTTGATGTCTTCCCACCATACATCTGGTCTTAGTGTTCAGTGCATCAGATCTACTCTTAAGATAAACTCATAGTTGAAGTTGAAAAGAATACAGTTTCTATAACAGAAGGAATTGGTTGACACTGAACCATTTCAGGAAGTAGCATATGTTGGAAGAAGTGCTAGCAGGGTACTCCTTAGAGATGAGAATTTTGAAGCTTGGCTCCCATCTTTTGGCCGTGTCCTTGGAAAAGTAGAGGAAATGGGATAGATGGGAAGACCTTCAATGAGTTGGATTGATACAGTGACTGCAATCATGAATTTACACATAGTAGAGATTGTGAGGGTGATGCAGTGTAGGGCAGGATTTCATTTTCTTGTTGGTAGAATCGTCATGAGTCCTCAACTTGAAGGCAGCTAGCAACAACATCCTAAGATTAATGGCAAGCTACTTACTTATTCATTAGTGTAATCAGCTGTAGAAGATCAAAAGACAGTTTTTACCCAGAGGGCAGGATAAAGGTGAATGAAAAGAATCACAGGAAGGAACAGGAAGAGTACTATTGTAATGTGGGTATTGTCATTTCATGAAACATGAATGGTTTACTGGAAAACCCATTTGCTCTAAGCTTTCATTCAAATCACAATTAAAAGGAAAGAAAATACATATCCTCTGATATGAAAAATGAAGGGAAAGATTTCTTAAAAACTTGACAGATATTACTAAACCTTCATTTTACAATTTAAAAATGTACACTCATTATAAAAAATATAACTTCAGATTTTTTTATTAAAATAATAAGTCTTACTGGAGTCAGGTTTATGTCTTTTATTATTTCCTGAATTATAGAGCTCGTAACTTTGAAGAGAGACTTAGTTGAACAGAAAAATAAGAGGAATTAAATTACTTTTGTCATACAATATTGTTATCAACAAGCTAATTTAAGATTATTAGATCTTTGCAAAAATTCTGTTTTCAGTTGAACTTACTCAAAATTTTCTGACTTTAAATATAGCAGAAAGGAAAAAAATAATGTTTTGTGTATTTCCCTTTTCATAGGTATCTTCTACAGATATTTCTTCAAGTAAGGATGAAGAAGAAAACTCTATGCACAATACAGTTGTCTTATTTTCTAGTAGTGACAAGTTCACATTGCATCAGGTTTGAACTTAATATTTTTTGCTCATTTCTATTGGGTGTCAGAAATACATAAATCATCTAATACATAAATCATCATATTTCAACAGATATACTCACCCTTGATCTACTGTAGTGTATATTTGTATACAAAATAGAGAGATACATTTACCAAGGAGCTGTTTTTAAAATAATAATCTTGTACTCTTGCTGTAATCTCCAGCATACGATAGCTTCCTTTGTTTTTTATTCCAGGATATGTGTGTGGTGTGTGGGAGCTTTGGCCAAGGAGTAGAGGGAAGATTACTCGCCTGCTCCCAGTGTGGTCAGTGTTACCACCCGTACTGTGTCAGTATTAAGGTAAATACTTTTCCATTAAAAGCACTCATAAAAATTAATGAAGTTTTATATCAACAGTAGCATGTTGTTTTCCTTCTTCAGAGTGAATCAAGCAGTGTTTGTTAGGATTATTATAAATTTGTGACTTAATAAATATTCATCTGATTTGTTTGAAATTAATTTCCAGTTTTATGATTTTAATTATATTGGTTTTTCTAATGTTGTTTTGGAAATGTAAAGATATAAATATATGCATTAAGTTTAAAAGAAAATCTTTATTGTTGATGGTCTGAGGTTTAATTCACTTATTTTGTTTATTTATTAATTTCACATAAAGTATTGGTAAAATTTCTTTAACTCATCTTGTTCCCCTTCCAGTCTTCACCTTCACCCATAATACAAAAAGAACTTTACTCCTTTAGTTGAAAAAGAGAAATTCGTATTTCATGGAATTTACTAAAACATAAGAGAACTAGCAGTTCTCAATTTCATGCGTTTCCTATTATAAACTAATTGAGGAACTTTTAAAAAATTATATCAACGAGTAAATATTTGAGCTAGAGCTTAAATAACTGGCATTTTCTTTTTCCTATGTTCTGACTATACTGCTAATACTATTCGGGCAGTACTGCACTTGGATTTTAAAAACAATGTAGTCATTTGTGAAAAATGACAAATGCTTTAGGAAATACGAAACAACTTGACCTTTTTAAAAGGGGCTTACAGTTTATTCCAGTAAATTAGGAAATGCTTTGAAATATACTAGGGATATGTTGTTTCATCTTTTGCCTTGAAATATTTTCATTTTGCCTTTACTTTTGAACACCGTTTTTGCTAGATATAATGTTGTAAGTTAATTGTTCCCCTTCTGGCTCTCCCCTCAACATTTTAAAGGTGTTGTTCTGTTACCTTCTGGCTTGCATTATTTCTGATGAAATCGGTGATCATTCTTCTTATCTTTGCTTTTCTAGATACAATAAGACAGTTTTTCTCTAGCTGCTTTTAATATATTTTCTCTTTTAACATTGCTTTACAGTATTTTTGTTACATTGTGCCCTGGTTAGGTTTTTATCTTGATTTGTTAGGTTTTTTGGATCAGAGAGTTGATAGTATTGTTATTCAGTTTTGAGTTATTTGAGACCATTATTTCTTAACTTTTTTCCTGTTCCTTAGTTCTTTCTGGAATCTGTTCTATGTATATGTGTAATGACATGATACTATCCTAGAGGTCACTGATGCTTTACAGTTGAGTTTTTTTGTTACAGGTTTTTTTCTCTCTGCTTTAGTTAGGATATTGTCTATTGCAGTCTCCAAGTTCACTTTTCTCATACAATATCTCATCTATCTTTACACCTGTTCTTTGAATATTTCAGTCAGGCATTTTATTATTTATGGTGGTTGTATTTTGTTTTCTAGTTTTAATTTTTGTTCTTTATGTTCTTGTTTTCCTTTAATTCAATTTCTAGTAATAATTTTAAATCATCACTTATTTCTCTCTGTCATTTTTCATGTGTTAACTAATTTTATTAAATTACTATTTCTTCCTTGCACATCTAGTAATTTTCAGTTAGATGGTGAACATTGTATAGTGTGTATTTTGTTTAAATGTCCTTTTAAAATTTTCCAGAGTGGATAGTAGTTAAAGTAACTATGTTGTTGTTGTTGTTGTTGTTTTTGTTATGTGTCGTCGAGTCGCCTGTGAGCCCTAAACTGTGCTCTGTCCTGTGCCAGTCGCACTGTCTGTGACACTCCTATCCCGATTATCCCAGTCACTGAATCAATCCACCTCATAGAGGGGCCTTCCCCTCCTGCGCCATCCCTCCACCCAAGCATGATGTCCTTCTCCAAGGACCGGTCTCTCCTCACAACATGTCCAAAGTATGTTAGATGGAGCCTCAGAATCCTTGCCTCCAAGGAGCCACCCGGTTTAACCCTCTCCAGGACAAATCTATTTGTTTTCCTAGCAGTCCATGGTATTCTCGATACTCTTCTCCAGCACCACAGCTCAAAGGCATCAATTCTCCTTCTATCCTCCTTAGTCATTGTCCAACTCTCTGATGCATAACAAGTGATTGCAAAGACCACGGCCTCTATCAAACGCACCTTAGTCTCCAGAGAGACACCATTGCTCTTCAGTACTTTGGAGACGTCCCTAACAGTAGATTTTCCCATGGCAATGCGCCTTTTAATTTCCTGGCTGCTGGTGCCAAGACTATTGACTGTGGAGCCAAGCAAACTAAAGCTGTGTACAATCTCAGTCTCTTCACCATCCATCCTGATGCTGCCAATTGGACCAGTGGTGAGAATCTTTGTCTTCTTGACATTGAGCCTCAATCCATATTGGAGGCATATAGTATAATTATCGTAGTTATACTATTGTGGCTAGATTGAATCCTTTTCAGAATTTCTTTTTAAGCTTTCTGAAAGGCTTTTCATTCTAACGTGATTGTTCTTAAACTTTTTGATCTTAGAATCCTTTTATACCAAAAAATTGAGACCTCCAAGTGTTTTTACTTATGAGAGTTACATGTATTTTAGAAAATAAAACATCAGATTTTTAAAAGCAACCATATATAAGTACAATGTGTATGACATAAAAATGAAGATGTTATGGAAAACACCACTGTTTAGGTGTGAATTAATGAGAATACCACAAACGAAATTGTAGTGTTGTATCAAATAGTTTTGATCTCACAGATCTACTGAGATCTAAGACTAGTTTAACCTTGTATCTAAGCAGTGGCCTATTTGAGATCTCTAACAAATACACTTCTGTCCTTCTTTTTTATCAGTCTTGATTCTGTGTGACCTCCATTAATCTTAAAAATTCCCATTTGGAGTTCATTTGCCTAGCTATTTGTGTGTATGGTTTAGTGTTCATCCACAGCTTCATGGAAAACTCTGTAAATATCTTGAGTTTTAATCTGTACTGCTCATTTCCTTCCAATGCTCTGTCCTTCAAATTCCAAGTACCTATGTGTCCTAAAATCAGTGAATTCTTTTTATACTGATAGGGTTCTTCTCCCCGTTTGGGCAGTAGTCTGGAAACATCCTCAACAGAAGTCATAGTCCTATACCACCTATTGTCCAGTGTTTGAAAACATTTGTTTTTATTGTAGTTGAAACAGATATGCACTATGACTATAAAATAAGTCTGTCACTACTTTCTCATGGTCCTCTGGATGGAACTTTGAATGGAATATTAGATAGCATCTTACTTGAAAGAGCTCTTGAAAATTAAGATGAAATCAGTAGTTATCTTCAGATCATTCTACCTTTATTTAAATCAGAGGTAGACATATGATGGGCTGTGGACCAAATCAGTTCTTTCTCCTTTTATTATATGTAAATAAGTATTTTGCCTACAAATATGCCCTTATATTTACATATTTATGTAACTGGAACTACAATGGCAAGATGGTTTAATTACGGTAGATCACATAGCCTAGTATGTTTAAAGTCTTGCCCATTACATAAATTGGCCACATTCTGTTCTAACTCACCCTAGGCTTCCTGTGTTAATCTCTGTCTTCCATTTAAATAAATGCTGTATTCTGATTTGATAAAGATCAAATGGCATTAAAAGCTTTATAATGAGTATCACATTTCCCTACCTTACTCTGTTTCCACATCTCAGACCTGCTCATTAAAACAGCATTTCTTTTTTCCCCCCATTATTTCCTCTTATGGTTAGCTTGACAGCGGGTGCTACTTCTTGATCAGTGTTAGATTTTTGTTTTGTTTTGTTTATTGTTATAGAGAAATACAATTTAACTCTTATAAGTACACTCCCTGCCAGTTTCCAATATAGTTATGTATGTAATGTTATTTATGACACTTACTGTCTCTTGGATTCATGATCCTATACTCGCTCATGGCAGTGACTTCTAGATCTGTTGCTTACCTTTCATCCTTTAAATTTCCCTTGACTGTTGTCTTTATAGCACTCCATGTGCTTTTTGATATGAAATCTCCATTTTTGTTACACATTTCTTTAGCTACTAGAAGGAGTTTATGGTATCTGAATTTTGAGTCTTTGTGTGTCTTAAAAGGTATTCTACCCTTAAATTTAATTTGGTTGATTGTTTAGCTAAGAATAGTACTTTGAATGGGTAGTTTCCTATATGATATGGCTACCTTGAGGAACACTATGGATGTTTTTAGCTTGTCTACTGCCTTAGACCCTTGAGGAAGAGGAAAATAAACAGATTGGATATCAGAAGTCCTACCTTCATATTTCACAATCTTTTTTTAAAATTTTATTATTTTTTGTGTGTGTACCGTTGAATCAGATCCACCTGGTACAGGAGATTGTCCCTTCTCCAGCAGAGTACCTGTCTGGTGGATTCGAACCAAGCCTTTGAGATTGCAGTACACCTTCTTGCCACTAGGCCACCAGAACTCCCTAATAGTTCACAATCTTAAAAGCATAAAATGTTCTTGAGATTCACTTTTTTCACTTTGCAAAATAAAAATGTTCTAGAAAAAATTTATTAGGGTGAATGCATATTTCACCTTAATTTTTTTTCCCTATGGTATATGTTGTTTTTACTGTACAAGTCTTTATGCCATGTACAACATTTCAAAAGCATGAAATTTGTGGGAATGTAGATGGAAACCAGGTTGGCATATTTTCAGGTATTTAAAGTAACAGGGCATTTTACTTCGTTATATATCAGTCACCTGCACACGTTATACATCAGTCACATCCACAGCATAGGATGTTTACCTCACATGTTAAAGAGGTACTAAAATACCTATAACTATCATTCACCTCAATATATAGAGTCTTCAAAATGTATCAGTATCACACACTTATAGGTCTTGAATAAATACTAGTTGTTCTTCTGCTTTAGGTACTTAAGTAACATATAATTAAATAGTATAATTGATTATATAAATAGTATAATTGATTATGTAAAATGAAGTATCACTTGAAGTATAAGTCACATGGATTGGTTGTTTCTTTTACAGATCACCAAAGTTGTACTTAGCAAAGGTTGGCGGTGTCTTGAGTGCACTGTTTGTGAAGCCTGTGGGAAGGCTACAGATCCAGGAAGACTCCTTCTTTGTGATGATTGTGACATAAGTTATCACACCTACTGCCTAGACCCTCCACTGCAGACAGTTCCCAAAGGAGGCTGGAAGTGCAAATGGTACTCGAGATTTTACATTTCCATTGTCCCTAAAGTTCAGCCTTTCCCACATGACTTAGTTCTTAAAAATTAGTTACATTTGTTTAATTGTATAAAACATGTTTAAGGTAGCTATTATTACTAAGCAGAAAATCAAGTATGCATTGAAGTTAATGCTCTCCTGTTTTGTTCATAGGTAGCCTCTTAAATTCCGTGAACTAAGTAATTAGGTACATTAAAAATTTTTGGGGTGGTTATATTTCAGGTGTGTTTGGTGCAGACACTGTGGAGCAACATCTCCTGGTCTGAGGTGTGAATGGCAAAATAATTACTCACAGTGTGCTCCTTGTGCAAGCCTATCCTCATGCCCGGTCTGCTGCCGAAACTATCGAGAAGAAGATCTTATCCTGCAATGTAGACAGTGTGATAGGTATTGTTCTAGTTTTATTTATTTTCATCTTTTGCAAACTTTTCTCTTACTAATGTAGCAAAAGAAAATTGGAACATAACTTTACTAGGCCATAAAATTAAAATTTATCATTTTCCAAGTTTTTATTTGAGGAAAAATCTTAAAGAGAAATTACTTCTTTTGAATTCTTAATTTCAGACCTTAAATTTTTAAGGAGGAGCTTTTTGAGAATTTTTTTAATCTTTTGAAATTACAAGCAGAGTTACTGCTTGAATATAACAGGTCTGGTGGTGTAGTCCCTACAGAGTTGTGTGGCTAACACAAAAGCATGTCTGAACCTCTTTGGTGGCTAAGATCCACTAGCAACTCTGAAGGAGAAACATACATAGTCCTCCTGTTTGGCTTACAGCCTGTGAAAACCTACAGGAGAGTTGGCTGTCATTTTTTTGTAATGGTCACTACATTCCCGTTCCTGCTTTCCAGAGTGATACACGTGTGGCTTCAGATATTGATATTGTTCTACTTGGAGTCAGTGGAACCTTACAGTGCTTTGCTACAGTTAAACTCTGTACATATATTATTTATTAGCAGTGTTATTTCATAAGGATTCTCACAACTTTGCCTATAAATTATTTGTTCCCAGACAAGACAACTGCTAAACTTTACTTCCCAGTTACTCTTTAACATCACTTAAATGAGTTACTTCTATTCTAAAGTAGATTCAACATGTAAACTATACATACTATGCCATTTACTAGTCTCTTTGTCATAACTATATCTTGCTGTCTGTTACATGCTTAATTTGTGGTCATGAAACCATTCTCTCATCCTCTTTATGTCATTTTCTTTTGCTTCCTACCTAGTACCTGTTTTTATTTTCCTCCCCTCTCCTCATCTCTTCAGAAATTTTATGTGGGTCAGTAGGGTGGGGAAAATACCTTTTTTGATTTATATATGAAGTTATATATGAGTTAGATATGAAGTACCATGAGGTTTTAGGAGCTTTAAATTTGAACTCCATCAACAATTACAGTTTTTAGAAAGAAACCTGTCTCAATGTATTCCTCTTTCTGAATGTACAAATATGTTCTTTTTAGATGGATGCATGCAGTTTGTCAAAATTTAAGTACTGAGGAGGAAGTGGAAAATGTAGCAGACATTGGTTTTGACTGTAGCATGTGCAGACCCTACATACCGACATCAAATGGTAAGGGAAGAACTCAGCAGCATCCATTCATTGGTGCTCCACAGACACCTTGCTGTCTATCACCATGAAGGCTCTTCAGTCTGGTACTATTTTTGACAATTATTTTACAAAAACTAAGATACCGTGTTAAAAAAAATCCATTCTTAGTACCTCAACTTTATATTAAAACCATTTACAGAAGTAAATGAAGCATCCATTTTAAATATAAGATATTTTGCTTCCAAGAAACATTATCTTGTTTTATTAGCAGTATTTTATATTGCATAATCCTGTGCATAATTAAGTACAGTGATTGTTTATCTTTGCCAGTTTTTCTCTATAACTTGGTATTTTTCTTTACTGTTACTTCTTGTAAAGACAGCTTTTAGCCATCAAACAATTATTTTCATGAAATGAGGTAAAGAAATGGAATTTTCACTTATGTGTTCATCTTTAAATATATTTCACTTCTTTTAAAAAAATTAACTTTTTTTCCATTTCAGTGCCTTCCTCAGACTGCTGTGATTCTTCACTTATAGCACAAATTGTCACAAAAGTAAAAGAGCTAGGTAAAATCTGAAATGCTTTACTTGATTATTCTTTCCAAAAAGTGTATAAATGGTTCATTTTTCTATAACTGAATTACCTCTCTATTATATGAAGCATGCTTTTACCCTGTATATCTTCATTCCATATACAATATAAGTCTTGTTCAGTTTTAGTGGAGTAATAGTCCTATAACCCTACGGAAATTGGAATAAAAGAGTAACTTAAAATAACCATTAATGCTACTTACTTTGACTTCATATATATTACTAAGTTTGTTAGATAGCAAAAAAACTAATACGTAGTAAGCAAGCAGACAGATTCTTTCAGAATGGATTCGGTGTGTTATTTTGTGAAACTGTCAACCTTGATCAATAATTAAATGTGGTACTTTTAGTAACCTGCTTTTACTGATAGCATTTGATGTAAGAACTTTTAGGTAATATAGAAATTATCCTAATGACATTTAAATGTAGCCTTAAACATTTAAAACCTAAATATGCAGAAATTCTAATTATTATTCATTTTCGCCTCCTTATAAGTAATTATATTGATAATTTGATTTTCAGATTGATGTCTGGAATATTTTTATTTCAGTTACATAATTTCATTGAGCTCTGGTGACCTAGTCCGTAGGACATTGATCTCCTCTAACCACTGCTCTGGCAGTTCTAATCCACCAGTGACTCTGCAGGAGAAACACGGCAGTCTTCTGCCGTGTGATTTACATAGCCTCTCAAAGCCTACTGGAAGTTCAGCTATGAGTCAGTTCCAACACAGCACCAGTACATTTCAGGTTTTTTTGAGTTACGTAAATTAAGTCTAATCTTTTGATCTGAAAGAATATTGTAGTAAAAGGACTCCTGGTAGATTAGCTAATGCATTAATTTTTTCTTCATTTCTTCCCCCCCCCATCCTTGTATTACTATAAAATAATATAAATACCAGTAGCATGATTTTTTTTTTAGAAAAAACATTTTTTGGTTTATAATGTAAGAAAATTTGGCCATTCAATTTAGTCTTTTTTTTAGTTGTGTACTATCAGGCATTACGCACACGTAATTGTTTAAATAATTAATTCTTCAGTGTCAAGTTAAGGATAACTGCTTTGTAAGTCACATTCCTTTAATATGAGGATTTTGAAATTCTGATTAAGTTATTAATTTTAAAATAAAAGTTCTCATTTGTATTTTTGGGATCCTGTAATTTTTAGATCCACCCAAAACCTACACCCAGGATGGTGTGTGCTTGACCGAATCAGGGATGACCCAGTTACAGAGTCTCACAGTTACAGTTCCAAGAAGAAAACGATCCAAACCAAAGTTAAAATTGAAGATTATCAATCAGAATAGTGTGGCTGTCCTTCAGACCCCTCCAGACATCCAGTCAGAGCATTCAAGGGATGGCGAGATGGATGATAGTAGAGGTAATACGGATTTCTTTTCTCTGGACTGTGTTTGTAAGAATTAAAGTATATAAAACAGCTTTCTAAATGTTTTCTTAATTCCAAGGTAAATTAAGCTGACCTACGCAACCTTAAATTAATAATTCTTCTTTTTAAATGAATGGTGCCTTTTCAGGTTTCTTGCTCTCATGCATCCTTTTAGATTACCCTCACCTTTCAGAGGTCTTTAGGAGCACTATATCATTAAAGTGGGGAAATTCAGTATGTATTATGCTGGGAACCAGTATAAACCTTCTCAAATACTGTGGGATTTTGGATGCCATGTTTATCAGAGATTGAAATTTTCAGATTCTAACACTGTGATAAAACTGATTGGCTTGGAACTTTCTTTTACTGTCAAAAGATTAAAAAAAATGCTTACTAGTCTTTTTTTTTTTCCTATAATTATATTTTATTAATTTTCATAAACATTTACAGAGATTTTGGGCCTCCACTCATTCATTGTTGCACTATTCTCTCTACCCTCCTCCCAGTTTGTTCTTGTCCAAATGCCACAGTGCTTGTCAAAGCCGCTTACTAGTCTTATTAATTGGAAATTTCATATAATCTCATGGTAGTTTCCACATAAAGGATAATAAAATAGTGTTACACTGAAGATATATACAACTGTCAGTTTGCCTTAGAAATAACTATAATTCTGGAAATGGGAAAAAACCCTCTTGTTTATCTTTGAGATTAAGTTTATATTCTCAGTGATTAATTGTAGATGGGTTGTATACTTTGTAAAATCATACTATATTTCAATAAATATTTCACCTTTAGATGACAAAATCATTTTAATAAAAATATTTGATCCAAATGAGCGAGCTCCATTGTTGAAAAGAAAATTGTTGCCTTGTTATTTTGTTTAGGATTTGTTGGGTTTTGTTTTTCTTTTTAGAGTGCATTTTGTTTAATTTTTGGATTGGATCTTTCCTCTTACTTAACCAAAGTGGAGTCAGAAATTATTTTATTCTCCTAAGGAACCTGGTGGTGTGGTATAAGTACTTAGCTGTTCATCTTTAAGGTTGAACCCATACAGCAGTGCTGTGAGAGGAAAGAGCTAAGAGTCAGTTCCTGTAACAACCTAGAAAATGCTCTGGTGTCCTTCTCTTCTACCGTAGGTAGTGGATCACTAAGTTATAATTACTTGACAGCATTCACCACCAACAACTAGTATTTATTAAATGCTGCAGTGTTAGGAATTACATTAGTGAAAAGAGAAAATTCTCTGCTAGCTCACTGAGATATTAACATTATTAAGTAAGAATATGAAAATAATGCAATAATACAATAAATGAATTCATTTTCATGTATCTCACAACTACTATGGGAGAGAAGCATCAAAAAAGGGAGTTGTGGGTGCAGATGGTGGTGAGGGGAATCAGATAAAATGGGATGGTGGGGATAGACTTGCTGTAGAAGGCAGTCATTCATCTATTTGAGCATAGATTTTAAAGAATTGAGCACTTGAGGATCTGGGGAAGAGTATCCCAGATGATGTTGTTGTTATGTACCATCGAGTCACCTGCGACTCATAGCGACCCTATGTACAACAGCCCTAAACTCCGCTCTGTCCTGTGCCAATCGCACTGTCTCTGACACTCCCATCCCAATTATCCCAGTCACTGAATCAATCCACCTCATAGAGGGCCTTCCTCTCCTGCGCTGTCCCTCCACCCTCCCAAGCATGATGTCCCTCTCCAAGGACCGGTCTCTCCTCACAACATGTCCAAAGTAAGTTAGACGGAGCCTCAGTATCCTTGCCTCCAAGGAGCCACCCGGTTTAACCCTCTCCAGGACAAATCTGTTTGTTTTCCTAACAGTCCATGGTATTCTCAATACTCTTCTCCAGCACCACAGCTCAAAGGCATCAATTCTCCTTCTATCCTCCTTGGTCATTGTCCAACTCTCTGATGCATAACAAGTGATTGCAATAACCATGGCCTGTATCAGACCCACCTTAGTCTCCAAAGAGATACCATTGCTCTTCAGCACTTTGGAGAGGTCCCTAACAGCAGACTTTCCCATGGCAATGCGCCTTTTAATTTCCTGGCTGCTGGTGCCAAGACTGTTGCCTATGGAGCCACGCAAACTAAAGCTGTGTACAATCTCAATCTCTTCACCATCCATCCTGATGCTGCCGATTGGTCCAGTGGTGAGAATCTTTGTCTTCTTGACATTGAGCCTCAATCCATATTGTAGGCTGCAGTCCTTGACACTCTGCAGCAGGCGCTTCAGGTCCTCCTCAGTTTCAGCAAGCAGGGTTGTGTCATCCGCATAACACAGATTGTTGATAAATCGTCCACCAATCTTGACCCCACATTTCTCCTCATAGAGCCCAGCCTCCTGGATAATCTGTTCTGCATATAGGTTGAAAAGGTATGGAGATAGGACGCATCCCTGTCGTACGCCCTTCCCAATTTTGAACCATGCAGTGTTCCTTTGCTCTGTTCTGACGACTGCCTCCTGGTCCAAGTATAAGTTTCGCATTAGAACGATCATGTGTTCTGGGATTCCCATTCTTCTCAGAGTCAGCCACAGTTTGTTATGATCTACACACTCAAATGCCTTTGCATAGTCAATGAAACACAGATAGACATTCCTCTGGTATTCCCTGCTTTCAGCCAAGATCCAGCTAACATCAGCTACAATAGATAGTATAAGTAAATCAGGGAAAGATGTGGATGGAAATGTGTGTATCATGCTTAAGTGTTCTTTTGAGTGAACTAAGGTAGTTGAGCAGTAGGTAGCTCAGTAAATCAAGTAAAAGACAAGAAGTCTGTGCGTTCTTATTGTTTACCTTCAGCCAGAATTGACCCATAGCTGACCCTCCAGCGGGTTTTCAGAGGTAGTTAGTCACATGGGAGGAGATTGCCCACTTTTCTCCACAGAGTAGCTGGTGAATTTGAATAGTGTGCCTTTGGGATTGCCTCACACCTTCTTACCACTAGGCCACCAGAGCACCCTCAGGCTGTGCCAAAGAAGTTGAATTTCTTTTCCATTGATAGCTCATTGGGGGTTTCTGAAAAGAAATTTGGTGTGATATTTATTTGTATTTTTTAAAGAATACTGTTATATCTACAGTATAATATAATATGCAGATAATAGCTGTGGCAAGTGAATCTGATAGAAGGCTATTACATTAATCTATTTGAAAGGTAGTTTTGGCTTGAAAAGGACATGTCTTTTAAATGTTCCTGATAACATACATTCATGTTTATTTTGAAGTACTACGTTTTGAGTCTTTGTGGTGGGAGAAATGCTTTCTGATGCTTGTCTGTAACCAGTGTTCAAGTAACAGTTGACAGAGACTTTGGTTTGAGACCGGTGAGGAGGAATCTGTATTACTCAGTGTGCCAAATAATTCTAGTCTTTGAGGATGGTAGAAAAAATTTGAAGAAGTGTTGTATCATAAATTTTACAACTGCCATGTGTCAAAAAATTTGAAAGGTAACTTGATAATATATACTATTTCTCAAATTATGAGATCATAGATCTTTTAAAAGAGAAACAAAATGTAAAACATTTCCCTGGCTAATGTCCTGTGGAGCAGTGCTATGAAATACAGTTTGTGCTGAATTTCATATTCCCATACTGATACTTACCAAGATACATGAAAATATCCTTATACTTGCTTGGTTTCCATTTTTACAGTAAAATAGTCCACATTTAATTGCCCTGTTTTTCACATTGTCTTTTATGATAAATATGATGGGAAGGAAGATGATTGCTGTTTAGTATGCTGTTTTGGTTTTTTTTTTGAGTGGTAGTGTTTTGTTTCTGGTGTTTTTTTTTAGTCAAGGAGTACCACATTTTGCTCCCCTAAGACTGTATTGAACCATATGTTTAAAATTAATTTTATGTCATATAAATATGCCTGTTTTCAGAGAAATTACAGAAAATAGCCCTAAAAATATATGATCTTTGTTAAGATGTCCTATGAATTCTAATACACTACCCTCATCTTCCAAAGTGCTTTTTTTTCTGCTACTTTATATAAAGTTTTGCCAAGTTTTATGAAATTTCACTGACATGTAAGTATTCGTTACTGTTGCCTTTTGTTATCATTAAGTTTGTCTTTGGGAGTTGAAAATAGTACATTCAAACTTAAAAAATATTTTTTATATATAAATATAAAAAATCTACAAATCATGAATATGTATCTGACAGTGAAAATAAAACTAGGTAGGAGTAATGGGAGATCTCATTCTGGTGACCTCTTCCTTATGCCATCCCTCCTCTTCTGATGTTATTATTCTCAGTCCCCTCAGCTGTGTAAGATTTTTAGACAGATTGTTACATTCACCTAGTTCTAGATTGAGAAATTATTTAAAAAGTTAAAATTATCTTCTCTGTCTTTTACTCATGCCCTTAGTTCATTTTACCAAGCACAACTACTTCTTTGTATGTCCTCCCAGACACTTTTTTTAACATCTCTAAGAAACTGAACATATATTACACTTTCCTTCATTTTCTATGAAATAGAAATATATTCCTTTAGATATAGTGCTTTCGATTTAAATAAGTAATTTTATCAGTCTTCTTTCCTATTAGTAGACCTTTGAGGTTTTTTTCCCTGGTTTTCTGAGTCTTTATTATTAATGGCTTAACAAAGCTGAGTCTGAACTGTACATTCCTGGCTGAATCAAAGGATATCTGCATTTATAGCAGTTTTTACAGGTTTTAATATGAAAAGCATGCATGATTCAGGGGTGGGGAAAAGGTTCAGAGAGTTCAAAAAGTAAATGAAACATTAGTCTTCTCCCAGCCATCCAGTTCCTATTCATTTGGACAGCCAGAGTAATCTTTCAGAGATTTTTTTTTTATCCATACACAGATGTGTATTGATGAGATAATTTTTCATTGTTAGTAGTATGTTTTCTTTCATTGCAGTCTATGGGAAACCAAAAGTTCTTGTTATGATGTTTGCTGAAGAAGACCTTAGCCTTCAGTGATATCAGCTGTGTTGGGGCCACTGT